ATATGGTGTGCAGCCTAGTGTAGATAAGCTAAATGCATCAATGGTTCAGATTGAATATGGTCCGATCTGATGATCACGGACGCCCGATAGTATCCAGTAGTATTTGAATTTTATTTTGTTTTCTACAAATCAGAATGATTTGAAATTTTGAGCGTGTGTTCATAAAAAATACGTGAATTTATGAAAAATATTTAAAAAATATTTTACATGAAAAAAATTTAACAAAATACCCCCGAAATGTTTTTGGGGTATTTTGGTCTATTGTTTTCTTGTAAAATAGTTTTTTTAATATTTTTTATAGATTCACCTATTTTTTATGAACACATGTTCCAAATTTTTGGTCATTTCAATTTATAAAAAAATAAATAAAATTCAAATACTACCTAGCATCCGTGATCGTCAGATCGGCCCAGATTCAATCTGGGCCGTTGACGCATTAAGCTTATCTACACCAGATTTTACACTATACCTTTTTCCATATATATATATATATATATAATATTTTCAAGAATCCAATCCAAAAGCTAGAGTGTTGACTAACCTATAGTGTATGTATGCTTGTCCTAATCCCTATACAACTTGTGTGTATCCATTCAAACAATAAGAAATTCAATTGGATTGCGTTTGTATAGAGCCGAAGCTCTAAAGTAAAGCACAATTTCAAATAGTATCGAAAAATATGGTTTCAATATTGAAAATCTTTGTGATAGCCTTTAAATATATTTTCATATTTAATTATAAAATTTAGAGCTTCAAAAGTAGTGTAGAACAAACATATCTATGAAAACTTGAATATCTTGAAAGTTGACGAACTATTTTCACAATTTAAAGTCCTTTTTTTTTCTCTCATGTTCATCCATCTTGATGTCAAGAGGATTAATTTTGGAGATGAACTCTAATTTGATTGTTTAAAGCCTCGGCTCTACTTAAACGTTTTTCAAATTGGCAAATAATAAAAGACAAAAGGATATGCTGCTTAGTATTCTCAACTCCGTACCGTCACGTTCTGTACCCTCACGAACGAATGCCGTAAACCCAACGCACGCTCCACTCCCGCGTCTATTCTCACATCCCTCTTTGCCACGTGGCCCTCCAACAAAATCCAAAAAACACAAAATAATTATTAACTAATATAAGAGAACCATAATCTATGCATCCTACCAACAGTACGATACCGTCATCGTAGCCAAACATTATTCATATCAAATGGTCAAAATGAGTTCATCACTGAGCAGTAGAAAAAGACTCGTCGCCTCTGCCCATTCATGGGCATATATGGTGAACGGAAGTGGCATGAACTATTTATGTTATTGCTATCTATTGTTTTTGACCAATTATCAATAGGATGTAGTTTCTATAAGGCCCAAAAATAGTATAGCCTCGCCTTATATGCGCAGTCGGAATGCACTTTGGATATCAAAGATATCTATAATTTCTCTAAAATCAATTTCCAACACCGATCATGAGATCTGAAGTTCAAAAAAATAGTAAAGATCTTATAGAACTATAACACTAATATTTAAAGCAAAATTGACCCTTTCGTTAATTTATTATAATATACACTACTTTTAAGGCTTCAAAACTTAATTTTTTTACAACCATAACAGTCAAGAATGAGATGATTGATGTGAAGGTATTTTTTTGTTGTGAAATTTAAAATAAGGCTTCACTTAGGTATACACCCCCATCGATATATTTTCCAAATTAGAAACTCCTGTTGTTTACCCTTCTACGAAACTCCCACCGTCCTACTATTATTCATATACATTGAAGGGCATCTTTCTCTCTCTCTCATTGGCTTTGCCAAATATCAGGTCTTGGTAGGCCCACAGGCCCAAGCTTGAGCGTCAGCTTTGATGGCGGAGGGACAACAACGGGAGCGAGGGACCGCACCCTTTGAAAACCACGTCCACATTCAGTCAATATCAACACCATACTCACTCTCCTCCTCCTTCACAAGTGTTCTGAACGCCCTCCACAAACGTTGCCTTCAAACCTGACCACTTCTGTATTCCTCCCCCCACACCACTCCTCTCGACCAACTACTTGGGCTTAGTTCAATGGGCTCAGGCAGGCGGAGGGGCTTCCGCATCAGCCGCAGGCTCGTCAGGCTCTGGCGGTGGCTCTGCAAGCGCAGGACATTCCGCAGACGTGGTTACCTCCACCTGCGGAAGCCACCTCGCGAAAAGCACCGAGCCCACCAGCAAGTGGTGGTGCACAAGCTTTCTGGTAAAGTGCTCGGGCATAATCATCATCAGCATCACCTTCATCATCCACTGGGTTACCAGCCCTTGGACGGGCCGGAGGTGCCCAAGGGCTATATGGCCGTCTATGTGGGGCAAAATGATGAGCAGTACCGGTTCTTGGTCCCGGTGTTGTATGTGAACCACCCGTTGTTCGCGGCGTTGCTGAGGGTGACAGAGGAGGAGTATGGGTTCGAGCAGGTGGGAGGGATCACAATACCTTGTGATGTCTCCCATTTCGAGACTGTGAGGAAAAGGATTGCTGGGGACGGATGGAAGAAATTGCTCCATCGCTTGCTCCATCCCTTCTGAGACATCCCCCCCTCTCTCTTTCTCTAACTCTTCAAACTCAGGTTGCAAAGGCAAGTTTCAGTCCACTTGAGTTATGGGTTAGAACTCATGCCTTTTTCCTCTGTTCTTGTAAATGTTTTCCTTGTTATCTTGTAAATGGATTCTAAATCTGCTCGAGATTACAATTTCGCACTAATTAACACCTCTTTCTGTTTCTCTCCCATGTTCTTTTCTTGTAAATAATTTTTCCATCTATGCAGGGGAAAAAAGTTTCCACTAGGCTTTATCACAATTAAAGAAGCATGTGGATGCTTTTCCCGATTCCTCACAATCTGAAATCCTTTCCCGATTCCTCGCAATCTGAATGAATTTCATTGAGATAAGAGGTCCTTGAAAATTTTGGGTTTTTTATTTGAGAGTATGGTTTTCTTACTTTTTATCTATTTATTTCTCATAGGAAAGGAAAAAAAAGAAGCTTGTGGTTTTTATAAGGTTGTAATTCTAAACAATCGAATTAGTGCGCAGCTCCAAATTTTATCATAACCTATAATCTTGGTGTAAATATTTCTTAGAATTATCTGAAAATCTATTTTTATATTTTATTATAAAATATTAAACTTTAAAAATAATTAAAATAAAGTAGATCTATAAAAATATTAAAGTCTTGAAAATAGACGGTCTAGATAATGAGTTGCGAGATGCATTATTTCTGGAACTCAAAATTTTTTTTTTTTTTTTTTGTATTCATACATCTCACATCTCGATATTAAAATGATCGATTAAAAGGTTTTTCAACATTAAAACAATCTTTTCCAATGGATTTTTAATGTGTATTTTTAATTCCACATTTTAATATGGCAACCTTATATAAACTGTAAAAAGTAGTGCCTTTGGCATGAATTATGCCGACAAGTTCAGTGTTTTCCGGGAGACTTAAAGCATCACTCTAATCTCTACTGAGTCATCAAACAATAAAGAAATGAAGGATTATTGAAACAATTGGTAAATGACGATCCTAATCTCCTCCTGATATTATTGTAATGACCACTTGCCGTGATCCTAGCCTGGTACGGAGGACAGTACCATTTTCCCTCTTTTTTATTTATTTTTTATTTTTTATGTCAGGGCCAACAGGTGAAGAAGAAAGTGCGTTTTGGGTAGTCAATACGGGAAAGGCTTTTATGCTTCTTCTACATAATAGAAGTTTTTTCATCCACCCTATCATCGAGTCGTTAAATTTTGACCTAGAAAGCCACTCTTAATTTGGTTTTACATCCGATATCTCAAAATATTTTAGTTTTAGATTTTTTTTATATAAATTATATAAATATAAAATTTGGTACATGTCATCTTCTCATTGGGGCGCACCTATTAAAAATATTAAAAATAATTTTTCAATAAAATATAATGACCAAAATATCCTTTGAAATATTCAAAGGTATTTTGGTCATTTATTTTATTGAAAATATTTTTTTCATATTTTTTTACTTGTGCGAGTCTAATAGAAGAATGGACGTCCAAAATTTGATGTCAAAATAGTTTATAGAAAACAATTAAAATAAAAATAGTGTAGTGACGTGACATTGTGATTAAGGCAATCTTAGCCCCTCCATTTAGAATAGACGGTTGGATAAAAGGAAGGATAAAATTTATATGTTGTAGGGAAAGCATAGAAGGCTTGCCCATTGAATATTACTTGCTTTTTAAGTTTGGATGAAGCTTCCACGGGTGTGTGGGCCTAGTAATCAGTCTTGGCCCAAGCTGTTACTCGGATGAGTCTGAGTAACATGGTCAATTAGTGCTAGTTAATGTAGCAAAAAAGTTAAAATAATATAAAATAAAAAATTTCAAAAATAGGAAATGTATGTTTAAAATAAGATTTAACAAAACATTTTAAAATAATGTTAAAAAAAATAGTAACAAAATAGATTTTAAAAAGGAAAATATCTCTTTATCTTCTTTTTTTTACTTTCGTATCTCTTGAAACTCAATCATTGAAAATATTCCTTGTAAACAAAAAGTACTCTCTCGACCTCTTTGACTATGAATTTTTTAATCAAACAAAAACACCCCCTCAACACTTTTGTTTTCCTTTCATATTTTCATCTCTCTCTCTAAATTCTATTTCTCTCTCTAATATCTAAAGTTACATAAATTCTTCTACCTACATTGTCTTTCTCTCCTCTCTCTCTAAAAACCCGAGATCAAATTTGAAGCTCCATGATCTAAAATTGCAATTACCATCATCTGGACCTCCTTAGCCATGAATTTTTTACCCAAACAAAAACTTGAATTTTTTACCCAAACAAAAACTAAAATAACGCCCACCACACTTTTGTTTTCTTTTCATATTTCTCTCCAATTACTTTTTTTCTCTTTTAAAATTCCATCTCTCTCTAATATCCAAGTTACAAAAATTCTTCTATCTACATTGTCTCTCTCTCCTCTCTCTCTAAAAACCCACGCATCAAATTTGAAGCCCTACTGTCTTGTTGCAGCCCCAATCCACCGATCTAAAACTGCAACTACCATCCTCCCACATGAATACTACCGTTTCCTCTCTTCTCCATTTGTTCGTTTGTTTCTCTTTTTTCTCATTGGTTGGGTTTTTATTAGATTTGCCCCATCTCAGATATAGACTAAGACCTATATTGGAGCATTTTCTTACTCTCCTTTGCTGGGTTTATCATGGTTTCTCCCTCCTTTTTATTGGTCTCTCTCTGTATTGGGTTTCTTAGACTTTCTCTCCCTTTATTGGATTTCCAGTGGTGGGCAATGGAACTCAAGTGGCTAGTGCCACAAAGAAACAGAACCCATATACGATGAGAAATACTTCACAATGTAACCACCAAAAATGCGTGTTTTGGAATCAGTGATGAGAGAGAAGACCCCTGTTTTCTATCTCAAACATAACCAGGATGACGGATTCACTCCAAAAGAGAGGATTTCACCTGAGAGATTCCAAGATTATAGCCATTGGTGCCTTCCTGGTGTGCCTGATACATGGAATGAGCTCCTTTATGCTGCCATCTTGAAGAGAAAGGTGAGTTGATTAATCACACATGTGTACAATTAGGTGGAGATTACATTAAAAAATGGGAGTTGGAAAGGCTTAAGTGTTGAGAGGAAATGGGTTTTAGAGAGTGAAAACCCATAAGAAAAGAGAGAAAATATCCTAAACCCAACCAAACACAGAAAAATAGTGATTGATATAATTTGGTTTGGGAAAAATCAAAATTATTAAAATTTAGTTCGGTGTGTTAGACTTGCAATATGACAGTAGGGCTTCATCAGTGGGTTTTTTTTAGAGAGAGAGGATGCACATAGAGAACTTATGTAACTTCGGATACTAGAGAGAGAAATAGAATTTTGAGAGAGAGAGAGAGAGGTGATTTGAGAGAAATAGGAAAGGAAAACAAAAGTGTTGAAGATGTCATTTTAGTTTTTATTTGGGTCAAAAATTTATTGTCAAAAGGGTACAGGGGTTGTAAGATAGAAAAGATTGAGATATTTTGTTTACAAGTAATTTTTTCAATTCTTAAATTTCAAAAGATAATATTTTTAATCTTTGGATATCAAGAGATAAAACAGTAAAAAAAAAAAGATAAAGAGATATTTTTCATTTTAAAAAGTCAAATAGGGGTAGTTTTGAAATAATCTAAAAAATATGGAAAAAATTTTAAAAAAGTATTTATGGCAAAAAAAAAAAATCAATATTTGTCAAAATGATAAAAACCATAACAAAAATATATCTTAAATAATTTTTTTATTATTTAGAAATAAGTATTTATAGCCAAAACACTTTGTACAAAGCCTAGGCATTATAACAACAAAGTAATGTCTGACCCTGAATTCTCATCTTGAAAGCACTGTGGATATCAGAATTCATGATGGCTCTAAAATCAGTTCCTAGCACTGATTATGAAATTTGAAGCTAAAAAGCTCATACATATCTTCCATTTTAAAAAGAGAAAAAAAAAATGGTACACATTTTGCGGATTTGTGAACACTTGTGTTTAGAGTGAAATGGATGGTCTAAATAATCATTACAATATACACTATTTTTACGGCTTGAAATCTTAACTTTTTTCACAACCGTAATGGTCAAAGCCGAGATGATTGATTTTAAAGTTTTTCAACATTAGAAATGTTTTTTTTGGTAAGTTACGGGAGGAGGCTTTTCTTATTGCTTGAACCTGCAGCTCTTTTTTTAAAAAAAAACAATTTGGGTATGGTTTCTATAAGTTTACAATCTTAAACGATGAAATTAAAGTGCACCTCCAAATTTTATCATAACACAGTAATTTTGGTGTAAAAAATTCTTAAGATTATCTTAAAATCTATTTTCATATCTCATTATAAAATTTTAAATTTCAAAAATAGTTAAAATCAAGTATATCTAAAAATAAAATATTGAAAATGGACGGTCTCGATAATGTGTTACTAGATGCACTATTTATGGGACTCAAAATCTTTTTTTTGTTTTTTTTCATATTCATACATCTCAATGTCGAGATGATCAACCAAAGGGTTTTTTAATATGAAAACATCCTTTAATTACTACCTTATGTAAACAATTCTTTTTTTTTTTTTTTAGTATTCAATTATGTTTTATGTACTTCATGGAATCTAAAGTAGACATCTTGATTGTGATGAAGGTTTTCTCTACATGTGATAAACTTAAGGGCTCGTTTCGATAGGAGGAAATTAGGAATCTTAGATATATGAAATTCAATGAAATCTATAGATTTTCAATATCAAGGATTTTTGTCATGGATTCATCAAATCTCTTGTTTGGATAAACTATACAAAATTTATAGATTCCTAGCAATCACTTCCATGTCCATTGTTTGGTAACAAAAGTTGATACAATTTCTCTCTTTAAAAGCTTAATATACTTTCTCTCTCTCAAACTCAAAATTTGGGATAGCGTGCCTATAAAAATTTTGAGATAGTCTAAAATTTGATATGGTTTCCCACTCTAAAATTTAATATACTTTTTATCCAATACTTAAAGATCGAAATCGTTTTCTAAAGTTTTTGAGATAGTTTCTCACTCTAAAATTTTTAGGTGCTTTCTCTTTCTAAAATTTAATGTACTTTCTCTTCCTAAAATTTAAGATACTCTCTCTATAAAACTTAAAACTTAAGATAATTCCCCTCTTCAATAATTTCGAGATAGTTTCCCTCTCTAAACATTTTTAAGTCGTTTTTCTGTAAA